AAAAAAAGGAAAGGACATTAAAATCATGATTGTGTTTGTGTGTGTGAGATATATATTCATATAAAAATTTGATTCAAATAAAGCGAAATATTCTGAAAATTAGATTAATCAAATATAAATCTCCGAGGATAAGTTTATTAATTACACTTTTAACGAGTTTACAAGTTTTCACACTACAATACAGCATTGTTTCCTTTTCTAAAATATTTACCTGTAGAAGGGTCGTTTAAAACCTGAAAACTTGTAAACTCGTTAAAAATGTGATAAAGAAATTTATCCTCGGAGATTTATATTTGATAATAATCTAATTGATACAGAGGATTATAATGCTGAAAATGTTTATAAAATGCTATGAAAATTGTTCACATGTCGATATATATCTAGAAATATGATAAATATGAATTCTTCTTCACAATATCACAAAATGTCCAATAAACCAAACGCAAATCAACGCTATGTAGCGCTAAAAAGAAGTATTAAGGAAAGATATGGTTTATTGATTCTCAATATATTTCATAAGTTTTCGCAAACATGTGTTTGTCTATCTACAAGTGGATATTGATATAAATTTACCTTATTATAGTATAATTTATAGATAAAAATGTTTAGTTATGCAAATATATGAACGAGAAGTGCTCCTCAGTGAAATAGGCCTTGAGGGACTCTCTTTGGAGCTCCTGTTGAATGAGGTGGTGAGAAAAAGAGCTGGAGCGTTTACGTTGTTCAAATTTTGGAAGACAGCTGAAGAGAAGGGGGAAAGCTATATACATAATCTAATTGATGTGAATAATTATATATAAATAATCTTTGTCAGGACTAGAATGACGAATCCTGTATGGGTCTTTGATTCCAGTAAAAGGCTTGTTACTGCTGTTGTATATAGTCACAGTGTAGAAAATACTATACCTACTACATATAGGTTTCTCTCTGTATTCTTAGTTCTCTTCTCTTTAATTACTCTGTAAACTGGCGAATCCTATGTAGGACGAGAGGTCCTCAATAAAGGCTTTTGTTGTTGTTGTTGTTGTTATGCAAATATATCTCACCTGTAGAAAGACCACTACGTCGAGAGCTTGTATAAAATTCAGGAAACAATAAAAGTTACTTTTCTCCTTATAACCTCCCTTTAGCATTAAATCTAGAAATGTATTATACTTATTTTTAATAAATTATTGTTGGATTTTTGGAATTAAAGAAAACTATATGCATTTTGAATTCGCACTCAGATAGAAATGTATATGTGAGGTATATAGGCTGATGTTTTTACCCTATATCTTACAACAAACCCGTTATATAACCCAGCGTCCCACCAGCAAAACGATCCCCAACTCCATGTTTGATTTTGTTGTATTCCAAGGTTCCATAAATAGGCTGGTGTGGTAACCCTATATCTTACAACAAACCCGTTATATAACCCAGTGTCCCACCAGCAAAACGATCCCCAACTCCATGTTTGATTTTGTTGTATTCCAAGGTTCCATAAATAGGCTGGTGTGGTAACTCTATATCTTACAACAAACCCGTTATATAACCCAGTGTCCCACCAGCAAAACGATCCCCAACTCCATGTTTGATTTTGTTGTATTCCAAGGTTCTATAAATAGGCTGGTGTGGTAACCCTATATCTTACAACAAATCCGTTATATAACCCAGTGTCCCACCAGCAAAACGATCCCCAACTCCATGTTTTATTTTGTTGTATTCCAAGGTTCTATAAATAGGCTGGTGTGGTAACCCTATATCTTACTACAAACCCGTTATATAACCCAGTGTCCAACGAGAAAGTTGTTCCAGTCACCCAGGAGAAGAACGAGCTCCAATGTTAATTTTTGTTACTTTCCAAGGTTCTATAAGTAGGCTCTGGTGTGTTAACCAAATACCTTACAAGAAGGCTGCTGATGTAGTATTTCTATATCTCACAAGAAGGCTGCTGGGATGTAGTACTCCAATATTTTACAACAAAGCTGTTATGTAACCCAGTGTCCGACGGTAAATCTGTTCCAGTGTTCCACCAGCAGAACGAACAACTCCATTGTTTGATTTTGTTGTTTTCCAAGGTTCCATAAGTAGGCTGGGGCAGTATTCCAATATCTTAACAAAATATCCGTTATGTAACCCAGTGTCCGACGAGAAAGCTGTTCCAGTGTCCCACGAGCAGAACGAGCTCCAGCTCCAATGGTCCACCACAGAAGAAGCCATAAGCCCCGCCTCTTCCATCCGCAGGCAGAACGCCTACCTCCTGAAGAACGAGACCGGAGTATGTGACGAGAAACACACGTGGAGAGGTAAGTACCCTATCTACAACATATTTGTTCACAATTTTATTAGAATGTTGTTTTATTATGTCTCATGATGATTATCTTTCAACCTGTATATATCTTTATATTTTTCTAACTTTTCTCTGAATATTTTGTAACAGATAACTTTAAATAAGTAAATTCTTCTAATATTATATATATAGTTTTAAATATGTAAATAATAATGAGCATTTAAATATAAATACTAGCCGAATGACCCGGGCAACGCCCGGGTTTTACCCGATTAAATGCCTTTATTCAAATACTATTCGTTACAATTATAAATTGGCGCCGTGGATGTCATTCTTGTATAATATATAAATGAGTTTTAAAAATTTAAAAAAATGCATCGGCCGGGAATCGAACCCTGGCCGCCCGCGTAGCAGGCGAGCATTCTACCACTGAACCACCGATGGTTATGAGAAATGGCCATATTTGGGTATTTATTCCATTCACAAAGCAAACGGTGACAGAATTGATTAAGAATTGTTGCTTGATTATGACGCTGATAACTGTATTTTTGAAAAAACACAAAAGTCGCGATACCTTTTGAACACACCTCGTATCCTTCACGTCAGCGCTCAGTTAATGTGATGCTCCGATCGAGGGGCTAATAAGTCCTAAAACTTGAGAAATAAAAGATTATACAAAACACTTATCCCTGGATACATAGTTAATTATAATACAATATAATGCAGGTTTTGATTGTAGAACGACATTTAAAAAATATCCCGCATGTGTTTCTTTTGAACGAAAAATCGAAATTTATTTGAAGGAGAAATAACGATTATTTCTAACCTTTGGGATGAAGTATGAAAGGATGAATTGTGAAAAGTTATGATAAACGAAAAAATAAAAGTGTCCAGGGATGGGAATCGAACCCACAGTGTTCTGCTTACCGGGCAGATGCCATGTCCACTAGGCTACCCTGGACATATTTTTCTGTTCGTAAATATTATATATAGTGATTTTTATACAATATAATGCGGCTTATGATTATAGAACGACATTTGAAAATATCCCGCGTGTGTTTTTTTAACGAAATTCTTTCGATTCCCTTCCCTGGATACTTTTCATTTTCACAATTCATCCTTTCATACTTCAACTCTAAGGTTAGAAATAATCGTTATTTCTCCTTAAAATAAATTTCGATTTTTCGTTCAAAAGAAACAGATGCGGGATAATTTTTAAATGTCATTCTCCATAGTTAATTATATTAAATTATTCTACTGTACACATACATTTGGTTGGTCGGTGACTTAAATAAAGGAGTTGAAGTCGTGTTCAGGTAACTGGGATGGAATCCCGAATTGGAGGCTTTTAGCATAGTACATGGCGATACTCAACCGACTGATCCAAATGCCTTTCGAATTGCCCCACGCCAAATACATTTTAAATTGCTTATCTAAATTACATATACAAGAATTAGACTAGAAATCCTGGTGCAGAGCATATATCAAGTTATATACTTTCAAGCGTAGTATATAAATAAAAGTAGTCGGATAGCAAACCTGGTTGGGAAATTATCTTTGTGATAGGCTATCTTGCGAATTTTTTTTTCGAAATAAAAATGCCTCAATATCCCTGATTCCTGAAAGATTCCAACCTCAACAGTGAATGCAGGTACCCAAACAGGGCTCTGTCACTTTGTAAGTGACCTACCTGTGTAAATATATGTTGTACTTACAGTAAAATCAGTCGCAAAGCTCCTACCCACCACGGTTGCCATGGCCTGTACCACATGTGTACTTGGGATAAGTGAAATATAATAGAGGCGAACGATGGTTATTTGATGTAGAATTCCTTTACTATATCAAAATTAGCTATAGTTACCTTTTATCCTACAAGACAAAGCGAGCCTATGTAAATATAAAGTGCTTTGAAATATGTAAATAAAATTTCAACATATATAAATGCCCACGTCTAAGCTACACGGTGGCGTTTCCACTGTTAGATTTATCAGTCCAAGTTATTGGTGCCATATATCTATATATATAAAAGTCAATGTTTGTATGTTTGTTTGTTTGTATATATATATCCGGTATACAAATTCGCAGTAGTTCACTAATTCAAACCAAAATTACCATACATAGGTAAAGAAAATACGGATAAGACGATAGGCTATTTTAAAAAATATATAAATCAATTATTAAAACTATATATTCAAATTATTCTATTTAGCTCACGAACAGCGCCCTCTATCAAAGATTGGATTAAATTATGCTGATGCAAACAAATAGATAATGCTAATAACAAACAATTATATAAAAAAATCTTATTAAAATATATATCACTCGGGTAGATATGCACACGGGTCAATCCCGAGGCGAAGCCCGGGTCACCCGTCTAGTAAATATATATATTTAAAATAAAGAAGGCATCTCCTGACCACGAGCACATGTGCTTTTTAGATGGCCATCTAAAAAGCACATGTGCTCGTGGTCAGGAGATTTTTATATATAGCCAATAATCTCTTCGACCAATCAGAAAACTCACTTCCCCCCCACATTTCTAGTCTCCTTTTAAATTCCTTCGATTAAAATATAGATTGCAAAACGACACTTGGTGTCACACCGCATGAGTTTCTTTTTACGAAAAAATCAAATTTTTATTTCAAGGTGAAATATCGACTATTTCTAACCTTTTTGGATGAGGTATAAAGGATGAATTATGAAAAGTAATGATGAACGGAAAAATAAAAGTGTCCAGGGATGGGAATCGAACCCACAATGTTCCGCTTACCGGGCAGGTGCCATGTCCACTAGGCTACCCTGGACGTATTTTTCCGTTCGTAAATGATACATAAAGTAACCTATAATACAATATTATACACTGCGGCCTGTGATTGCAAAACGACACTTGAAGTCACACCGCATTTTATTTTTCCGTTCATCATTACTTTTCATAATTCATCCTTTATACCTCATCCAAAAAGGTTAGAAATAGTCGATATTTCACCTTGAAATAAAAATTTGATTTTTTCGTAAAAAGAAACTCATGCGGTGTGACTTCAAGTGTCGTTTTGCAATCACAGGCCGCAGTGTATTATAAAATATAGATTGAATGGCTTTTTTAAATAAAGGATTTTTTAAATTTTCTGGCGATTTCCAGGAGGAATGTTTGAGAAAGTCAATCATTCTCAAATATCTGCGCGCTATCTATGAGTGAGAACACGAACAATTCATCCAACCGTCCTTATTGCAAGGAGTACAATATGTCTGACTGGTCAACCCTCGCTACTATTTCTGCTGATTAAACAGGCGAAACGTCTGGAAGGGTTTAGCACTGATGAGCTAGGCCCTCCCAAAGTATTTTACTTATTTCAATATTAGTCGAAAAACCCGTTTATATTTTTAAAAAATAAGGCGTTGAAATGTTTGAATTCTCGCGTAGTATTTTTATTCGTCCCAATTTAAACTACACTTCTGCACTTCACCATAACAAAGATTAATACATAGATAGAGTAGGGGATTGTCTTAGAACCTGTAACCTTGTCCCTTTGGTGACACGCCACCTGACGTGACTGGCCTTGACAATGTTGTCACTACAGCCTGTCTTCCGCAGTCCCATCATCCTTAGCGGCCTAGCTAAGGTATATGGTATACCCTACATAGAAACACCTAGAGTACCTCTTTGTCAACCCCTACTATTGCTTGTGAAAAAATAGTACAAATGTGATATTGTACTAAGATAAGGTTCATAAAATGAAAAAAAAAGTAAAAAAGGCATCTCCTTATTGGGCAACTGAAAGTTGCTGATGGCTTGCACCATCTATCGGAATAAATATCAACTATTCGTTGATTTTTAATTATTCCAGAATTGGTCAAATACCCATTCTTTATTAATCAAGAAAAGCTAGCCACGCACGCGTTGCAGGCTGTTATTCCTTAATCATCGTAGTAAAAGCTCTACCTCAGCGACCAAAAAGCTGCCTTTTAAGGATTCCTGAAATATCAAAGAATGGGTATTTAAGACTATAAAGGCATGAGAACACCAAACTACATATGAAAAATAGTGCAATTTTTAACACACTTTTTTTCATAAGGTAATAATTGACAAAGGTTTAAAGAATCGAGCTGTAGTCACATTATTTTAAAATTGGATTATAAAAATGTATCTCTATATATAAATATATATATCATTAATATATGTTCGAAATAGTTTCCCTTTATATATAATTACTAGCGGATGTGTACCCGGCTTCGCCCGGGTTTTATCCGAGTGAAAGTTTGCCTAACGAATATTATATATTATGAAGTATAATAAACAATGTTAAAGATTAGTTTTAATTTTTAATCAAGATTGTGTGTGAATATGTGAGAAAGATGTAATATCGTTGTTGTTTTCTTGGCCGACTGTTTTACATATGGTGTTATCTTAAAATTGCTTGTTTTGAATATTTTTTTAGATAGAGTTGAATGAATTGCTGAATTTTTTTTTGTATTTATATATAAATAAAATTAACTCTGTTGTGTGTGTTTTTTTTTTGTATTTAATCGATAACAGCGAAGTTACGCATGTTAAAGTTAGGAAAAATATTTTGATGTTAAGCAAAACCTGCTCCATCTCGTTTTACATAAATGTTGAAAATTTGGTCGAAATTGATGCATTGTAACGAAAGTTTTTAGCGAACACCACTTATGAAATTTGCATTTTATTAATATAGATATAATATAAATGAGTTTTAAAAATTGTTTTAAAAAATGCATCGGCCGGGAATCGAACCCTGGCCGCCCGCGTGGCAGGCGAGCATTCTACCACTGAACCACCGATGCTTTAAAAAAATCAAATTCATTTATCGTCGCGACCAGTGCTGCGCCCTAGCGGTAAAAGACTGGAACTAACGCTTTTTGGTTTTTTATTTTTTAAAAAAAGCACATTAAATTTTTTAGTTTTTTTGAATAGCCTATATGTTAAACGAAATCTTCAGCTACCTACATGCGAAATTCCATAATGATTGAGTCAGTAGATTTTGCGTGATGCGATAACAAACATCGATTTCGCATTTCATTTTTATATATATAAGGATTTGTTGTTTGAGAGGCAAGATAGAAAAAAAAGTCACATGGGGATAGATCAGGGAAATAAGGTGCATAATGGACCTCTGAGATATAGAATGTTTGGCCACAAAATGCGATATTGTGTAGATTTTAGTGGCCTAGCATTGTCATGGAATATAAAAACAAGTCGCTCTTCTCCCACAAATCAGGGCATTTTCGGCGAATTTGTAGTCGCAGATTAACAATAACATTTTTTTTAAAGTGTTGATTGAATTTTTGTCCTTAAAGTGAAAAATCATTATAAGAATCAGGTCTCTGTAATAACAAAATATATCTAACATTGCCTTGATTTTGTATTTGGGAACCAGTGATATTTTTGCAGTTGAAGCAGGGTATTTTATGCTTTATCGTTTTATTATCGGATTGGTTGAACCAAGTTGCATCATAAGCAATCTTTTTGTTAAACAAAATTTTCATTATTTTCGGCTGTATTTAAAAGATCTTGGCATATTGTTGATCGACTCCTGTTCTGTTCCAAAGTAAGGTTTTACTGGCATCAACTTTTAACACATTTTTCTTGTGAAAAACTTCAGTTAAAAGGTGTAGCAACTTGATTTTGATATATTTGTTTCTTTAAATGTACCTATTTTTAATTATCAAAATTTTATATTTTCGCCATTTTCTGAAACAATGCTTGTCGGCCTGGGTATCTTCGACCATGTTCTAAACCCTCTTCAATTTTTTAAAACTATTTAAACTCCTTTGAACACACACAAGATAAAGATTCCTTGCCGTATATATTTTTTAACCATTCAGTCTGTTTTTCAGATGGAAATTTCCCAATTTAAAACAAAATTTGATATTTGTTCTCTGCTCTATTTTTGTCTTCCGATGGTAAAAATAAATCTTTTGGAATTGTGTTCGTTAATGCTTCTTTTTTTAATACAGGGTTATCCAAAAGTCTTGCACAACTTTAAAAATTAATAACACCGCGAATATTTGCGCTAGATCAATGCGGTAAACACCATTGTGTTCAGGATGCAATGGGATTTTTTTATGGCAAATAATGAAAATATCGAAATTGATTTTAGTTAGAAACGTAAATAAACATATCCCTTTATAATATATATCCTTATTGAAACGTATTAGTAAATATTATTTATATATTTTAGATATTATTTATATATGTTATGTATTATTTATACAGCAGAACCTCCCTGTAAAGGACACCTACTTGCAGAGCCAAAGTGTTCTTTAAGGAGAAGTGTTCTCTTACCGGAGAGTTACTAAATAGTGAAAATGGTAATTTTACAAATGAAAACTGTCCTTTGGAGAGAGGTGTCCTCTAACCCGAGTGTCCTCTCATGGAGGTTCTATTGTATATGTTACCAATGAAAAATATTTTCGATATTTTTGCAACAATATAAATAAAGTTCCGGGACCACATCGATGTTGTCACATGCCGTATTCGACAGGTTCCCAATTTACAGAGGGACGTAATAAGAGAGAAAAGGAACGCCTTGGTTTTGACCGTGAATATGCAACAGGCTGCTAGTTTAAAAAATGTTATGTCAAATAAAACTCTCCCTTTCAAAATGTGCATTAAAATCGCATTTATCAAATGGTTCAAAATGTATTTGACATCTTCGTCACCCAACCCGCGCAAATTCAAATCGATAGATAAACCACAACATCAGCCATGTAAATCTTCACCAAACCTAACCTGCCCACCCTGGTTTCTATTCAAATTTTCCAAACCTAGTGTTGCATTGATCTTAATTTTTGTATTTTCCCCTGAGATCAAATAAATCCGAAATTTTATGCATTTTTTGAGGTCTATAGATGACCTGCTTTTGCATATTCATATCATTTCCTCGTATTTTCACAAATGTTTTCCTGTATGCCGATTCAAATGAGTATTTTTGTATAAATTGAGGATTGCTGTGTGTCTGCAGGGAACTACAGCTGTCTCCGTGTCCTGCTCGTGTTCACACGCGACAAGTCGTTCTACGTCAGCACGGTGTTCGTGCCGGGGATCGTGTTGGTTACCAGCTCCTTCATCTCTTTCTGGCTGGACATCAACGCCGTGCCCGCGCGGGTGATGATCGGCGTCACCACCATGCTCAACTTCTGTACTACCACCAACAGCTTCCGCTCCACACTACCGGTAGTCAGTAACCTGACGGCGATGAACCTTTGGGACGGCGTGTGCATGTTCTTCATCTACGCCTCCATGCTGGAGTTTATCATCGTTAACTACCTCTACCGTAAACTGCACCACCGGCCCTCCATGCTGCCGGTGCCCCAGCCTCCGCCCGTGGTACCTAAGCCACCGCCGACTCCTGCCTCGGCACCTGCAGCGGCCACTACGCCCGCCGCGGAACCTCTCCGTCGGAGTCAGTCCGCCCTGTCTCAGGTACATTTCGCGTTATACCGCCTTGTCTTTACCCATTAATAATGACCATTCCCCTCATACAAGCGTCTTATAAACACATTCGTAGGTATAGGTTCAATTAAATATATTACGATTTGTACCCATTCTTGCGGTGGTTAGCTGGCCCAATATCTTATGTCTCAATAAGTCACGAAGATGTGCTATACGAGATAGCCCTATAACCATTTAAAAAATAGCCTAGCAGAATTCGAACCTAAAATCTTTTAATTGGTAATCAGACGCCTTGCCAACTAAATTGTTTAGACAAAACAATAGCTTGAACGTATACCCCTTGTGTAGTCCTATTTATAGAATGGAATAATATACGTCCTCTAAATGGGCGAGAGGTAATCTGGTGTGTGTAGGTTGAGGAACAACAATAAAATAGTAGTTTGTTTACAAGATATTTATAGAATTATTATTGAAGGGGAAATTTTGTATATATATTGCATTTGAGGCTAGTAATGTGTAAGCAACAAAAGAAAGAAATTACGATGCTTCAATTTATGTTTAATGACCATGATTATCCAATCATATATACCAGTGTCGGGCAACCGGTGTGCCGTGGCACACTGGTGTGCCGCGAAGAATTCTAGGTGTGCCGCGAACATTTTTGTAGGTATTTAGAACTTTTGGTTAAATTTAAAAATAATGTTTCAAAAAATATTTTTTATAATTTTTATTCAATTTTAATAATTTTTTTCAAAATTTTCATATAAAAAATGAAATTAAAAAAAAGCAAATTTCATTTTATATAAAACTTATTTTGGTATTATAATTACAACAGTTTGCATAATTTTATATTTCATATAACGTATGTACATGATCTTGACGTACATAACTGGCACGTGCCATTATTAAAAAATAAAAATGCAAATAGGTACGTACCTATTTAAAATCATAAGTTAAAAAAAAAAACAATCCGCGAAAACAACTTTATTTAATAAAGTTGAATACATACTGCGGGAAAATACCTAATTTTTAAAAAATATGTCCAAAATTAACCGTCATTTTTTTACAATCTTTGTCACAGCTGTTTATTAATAGAGACTCAAAGCTACAAAGCTTAATAAAAAGAAAACAAAAAAAAATTATAAATTTATTTTAAAAATTTATTCGGAGTTTTCGTCAAAGTATTGCTGTAGTAATTCTTCATTTTTTTTTGCATGTTGTAAAACACACACACATTCACACAATAAGTTTTGTACACCGTAAAATCTGTTGGTTAAAAAAGGAAAAAAATATTTTTGTTACGAAATTCTCACAGGTGCGCCGCGAAAAAAATAAATTAAGCTTAGTGCGCCGCAACTCGAAAAAGGTTGCCCGACACTGATGTATACACTCATGAATAATACTTAAGGAAGTGGAAAGGCTTTAATGACGCCGATTGTCTTTTTTTTTCTTCTTCTTTCTTAGAGACAGAGGCAATTTTGTTCAAACAGGTTATCTAGTGTGTTTTCAAAAAAGGTCACTTTGTATCAAATATCTTTCATAGTTATTGTCTGACTCCTGATATACATGCTGAAAGTAATACAACTTCCTTAAGTTTTGTCTATGAGTGTGAATAAGATCTATTGAGAATACATAAAACGCTATCAATATGGTATAAGATCATCCTTAACAGCTATACAACGCCGTCTTATACGGTCCAAGACATCGATCCTGGAGATAATTGTGGCCACTCTTGTACATCTTAAGTCCTGGAAGATATGTGTGAGCTTAAACATGAATGCTACCTTCCAAGAATATCACAGACCTGTACAATAGTATTGAGATTTGGGGATCTTGTCAGCCAACCCATACGTTCAATTCCATCACTTTCAGCTTACTCTAGAACTAGATGTGCTAGAAATTTTATTTATTCTAAAAATACACTTTTTTCTAAAGCAATTTTATTCAATAATGCTTTAAAATATGATAACTATCACTCTACTCGCTGCATAACAACACTTTTTCATGGATATAGATGTTGCCTGGCCGCCATTCATTTTTCTATGAAAAATAGACACTTTTTTATTTTTCTCAACGTTTCGACAAAAATATTTTGACTTCGTCAGGAGAAGTAAATAAAAATAAATCATTACTTCTCCTGACGAAGTCAAAAGATTTTTGTCGAAACGTTGAGAAAAATAAAAAACTCTAACTGACCGAAGTGTCTATTTTTCATAAAAATATTGTCACGGAATACAATACCTCTTAGCGCCGCCATCCAGGTTTATAAAGTGAAATTTCTTTTTATATTGAATAATTTTCAACTGTCCCTAATATAGTGGTGAACCTTCCCAGTGGTTTCGACAGTTTAACCTACCATACCACTCTATTATTAAATTCGTTTATTTAAAAGGAATTTAAGGTTAAAAGTTGTGAAAAATTAATAAAATTTATGTAAATGTATAAATATGCATTCTGAATATTTTATGAACTACAAAAATAGAAAACACACAAAAAGGTGATTATAATAAAAAATGAAAGTTTCTAAATACATGTGTGTGGAAAACTACATAAATATTTAAAATAATACTAGATCTGAGTTCTGCCCGAGTTTGCTCAACTAATGATGTTTTAACAAAGGTATTACTGTAAAACGACATATGAAAATTATCCCGCATGTGTTTATTTTGAACGAAAAATCAAAATTTATTCCAAGGAGAAATAACGATTATTTCGACCTTATCGCTGAGGTGTGAAAGAATGAATTGTGAAGAGTAATGATAAACGGAAAAATAAAAGTGTCCAGGAATGGGAATCGAACCCACAGTGTTCCGCTTACCGGGCAGATGCCATGTCCACTAGGCTATATTCATTATTGTGTGTATTATCATGATCATCTATCCCTATCCCCCAAATATGTAAATTAGTTTATTGCACCAATTTGCATAGGCCTTGAATAGCCTATATGTTAACCTACCTCTTCAGCTTCTATATGGTGAGTTTTTTTAATAATTGATTAAGTAGTTTTGGCAGGAAGAGTAACAAACATCCATTTGAGAACCTTTCATCCTAATTGCCTATTTGTAAGTTTATTTTCCTTTTTTTTATTCGCGTTCTGATTTGGCTGTTCGTTGTCACGTGACATTATTCAGCCAATCACAGTTGAGTTCATTAACCAATCAACGAAAAGTGTTTCTTTATCTCTGAGAGCATTAATCATCGATAAATTCTATAATAAATATAAGATCATTGGTTCGAATCTCTAGGGGGGGATCTTTTTTTTTTTTTTTTTTTTTAATATTAAAAATATTTTTTTCATTTAGTTATTTTAAAAACAAAGTTAGTTCATTAAAATTTTACACAAATAAATTTACTGGCAATGAGTTTCTTATATTTATGAATTATCTTGCATTAGGTTTATTTAATCTTTGTATCATAAGGATCTGATACTTGATTTCCTCATTCTATAATGGGAAATTTTAAGCTGAGTGTAAAAATATTTCTATTTGATTACATCGTGATATAGGTTCAGTTATTCTTGAAATACCCCGTCTGGGCCAATATTCTTTATTGGTTTTGTTTGTTTTTCACTCCTGAATATATCATTCTCCCATCAAATTATATACAAGTATTCAGATATAAGAATTGTGATATACTTTTATTTAAAATATCAAAAACCTTACGTAATGTGTTTCTTTATTACAAAAAAAAAAAAAACCCGCGAGCTTTGGAGCTATCTTTTTTCTCAACGAGCAAAGTTACTATTTTTATTAAATAGCCATCATACCTCTATGCTGTAACTTTGCCCGTTGAAGACCGAGAGCTCGAAAGCTCGTGGATTTTGTAATAAACACACATTGCGTAAGGTTTTTTGATATTTTTTTATATACAAGTATATGTCATAATATTTGGAAATATATAGATAAAATGGCCTGTGTGGGATTACAAGTGAAGATATCCGGGTTAAACCCCCTTGGTAAACAAGTGCCAAGTCTTCATTCTCCCCTAGGGGAATTATCTTACTCAAATCGGTTTAAAAGCGGCTGGATGTGATGATCAGGGGACAGTTCTCACCAAGGTGACACCAGTTGTTCTAGGGGTTGTTCTTCTATCTTTCCTCCCCGATCTATTTCCTCACGGGGCCTCTGGATCCTGTGTGTCCTTACCACCCATCACTCAACCATCACGACTGCTTCTAACCACACTACAGTCATCCAACAGCATAAACTACATTACAACATGTATATAAATTATATATGTAGTAAAGTAAATGGATATGGAAATAAACACTCCAGATGTTAGTGGCGACACAAGAAGACCACGTCCCTAGAAACAGACGTGCTGACATGGCTCCAGTAATGAGACTGCCCAGTACGATCGCATTGAACTTTTTCTCCCAACTGTCGTTAACCGTTCCCCGGCTCTATTTTTACCCGGTCTGTTCTCCTACCGGGAACAAAGTTTGGATCTTTCCTGTTCACTGTTTTCCTGTTGTGAAGTTGTGTGGCGCCAAGATGTCACGGCTATCTCTGGTGACGTCAGCCTTTCTTTATCTATATTATTTCCAAGCAAGTTACTATAATAAGGGGGAATATTTTGATTTTTATATATATATATATATCATATATCGTATAAATTTGATAATGATCGATAAATATTATTTCCGAAGAGTTTAAATATATATTTTTTCATGTTTGTGAATTTTAAAATTAATTATTTCTTTTCTTTGAATTTTGTATATTAATTTAAAAAGTAATTTTTGTTATCATCATCACATACAATGTCATTTTTATTTTATAAACACACGATAATAAACAACAACATCAATGTAATTTGCATCTTCATTATTATAAAACAACAACAAATAATTAACAATGTGAAATTATATTTCAACATTCAACACAAAAACGTTACAATATATATAATCTTCCCTTTATAAAAATTCATCGTGTAAGCAAACTAGCATTCATCGTGTAAACAAACTACGTGAAAAATTATTAACCAATCAAATTCATTTATCGTCGCGACCAGTGCGGCGCCAAGCGGTTAAAGGCTGGAACTAACGCTTTTTGGATTTACATTTTAAAAAAAATCAAATTAACCTTTTTAGTTTTTTTAATAGCTTATATGTTAAACGAAATCTTCAGCTACCTAAATGCGAAATTTCATAATGATTGATTCTGTAGATTTTGCGCAATGCGATAACAAACATCTATTTTGGATTTCATTTTTATAGATATAAGGATTATATATGTTCATATATAACATAAAGTTGCCTAATAATGATATTCATTTCCCAAAAGCGACACTTCTCTCTTCAAATAAATTGAATACATTTTAACTTAAACCGATTTGGCCTTTTGTCTGATTTTGCCAAAACTGGTGCTGTGGCTCATTTCTTTATCACCATCAGTAAACTAATCCCCACATTGTTCTACTGTATAATTAAAGTGAGAGGTGTCTCTTTTGGTGCATATCTTCTATATATATAAAAATGAATGTTTGTATGTTTGTTTGTATGTCCGGTATACAAATTCGCAGTAGTTCACTAATTCAAACCAAAATTTCCATACATAGGTAAAAATATACGGGGAAGACGATAGGCTATTTTAAAAAATATATAAATAAATTATTAAAACTATATATTCAAATTATTCTACTTAGCTCACGAATAGCGCCCTCTATCAAAGATTAGATTAAATTATGCTGATGCAAACAAATAGATAATGCTAATAACAAACAATTATGAAAAAATTCTTATCTAAATATATATTACTCGGGTAGATATGCACACGGGTCAATCCCGGGGCGAAGCCCGGGTCACCCGTCTAGTGTTTATATATTAATTCGAAAATACAATTTCAAATAATTACCTTAGAGAAACCTAGCTGTGTAACTCGAGGTTTTTCTTTCCATCTAAAGAAAGGATCAGTTCTCTCTCTATTTCTATGTTCGGCTCTTTCCATTTACTGAGCAAACACCGAGTGCCATTGGTATAGTTCTAGATAATCTTTCTTCTTTTAGAATTCTCCGTGGGCTTCTACTTATTATTTCTAACGTTTTTATAAGTTTATTTTATGATACCTTACGGCAAGTTATATTAGGAATACTTTTTACACCTTGAGAAACCCTGGCATTTTACTTTTTTTTACAAATTTACACTAAAAGTTGAACAAATAATCAAATATAATCCCCTAAACCAGATGTATATATATCTTATGAAAAAATAGTAGAAAAATAAAAAGGTCATATAAATTTATATCTTCTATATATATAAAAATGAATGTTTGTGTGTTTGTATGTCCGGTATAAAAATTTGCAGTAGTTCACTAATTCAAACCAAAATTTCCATACATAGGTAAAAAAAATACGAGGAAAACGATAGGCTATTTTAAATTATATATAAATTAAATATTAAAACTATATATTCAAATTATTCTACTTAGCTCACGAACAGCGCCCTCTATCAAGGTTATAAATACGTTTAAAATCGAAATCTTCTCAATTTTTTTAAAATAATAGTTCGCTTAATAATTAGAATACTTGATCTAAATCGAAATATTTATAGACGCTCGTTCGATTTGAAGATTTATATCGTAACTAATCTGACTGTAAAGTTTGGAGCGGGACGTTTCACAAGAGTGACATCCACGGCGCCAATTTATAATTGTAACGAATAGTGTTTGAATAAAACATTTAATCGGGTAAACCCGGGCGTTGCCCGGGTCATTCGTCTAGTTAAAAAATAAAAAAGGCATATCCTGACCAGGAGCACATGTGCTTTTTAGGCTAAATCAATGTTTAGTTGATTTCTGTTCCACTAGATGGCGCTCTGCCATCTAAAAAAAAAACACATGTGCTCCTGGTCAGGATATGCCTTTTATATTTTTTAAATATTTTCTTATGTCAAACTGAAAGGTTTCATTGTTGTTTGTAAGTCTTCTGTATCAAAACTATTGATTCGATCATTTATAAACCTTACATATACAAGATACGATATCGAAAAGTAACAGAATTTTTTAAAAATAGGTATACCGGTTAAATCATTTTATTCATCAGATTTTTTGAAATAGAACCATCCACTATCTACACATTGTTACATCGGTCAAAAAACTGTTTAAAATAGTTTTCATAGTCCATTTTCCTGAATTTGTTTATTTCAGCTGTCGCATTTTCAATAACCTCTCTAGATGGAAAAAGCAGCTTCCTTTTAACGCCAATTTGAAATTAGGAAAATAAAAGAAATCACAGAGGGAGAGGTCTGGGGAATAAGGAGGATGTGATAAAACAGTCACAGAGTGCTTAATTACTTAATACATAACCAAGTCGCTTTATGGGCAGGGGTGTTATCATGAAGCAACTTCATTGTTGTGACTGAAATATATAGTTCTTTTTCTCTTGAATCTCTAAGGCACACAAGTATTTTTCTGTATGTGTTTTTATTTATAGAAGTTGCCTCTGGAATATAAACACATAATGTACAACTTTTTGGCTGTCAAAAAAATATATACGCATCACTTTTCCCTTTGATCGGTCAAGATGAACTTTTTTTTCCGAGGAGACTTGGAATGTGCCATTTAAGTGATTGTTTCTTTGTTTGCGGAACATAGATAGCACCAAGTTTAATCTCCAGTTTTTATTGTTTTAAAATTATCGGTAATTAATTATAATTTCAATTAAATCACTAGAAATTTCCAATCTGTTCTGGTTTTGTTGTATGGTTAGATGTCATGAAACAAAGTCTTTTCAAGTATAAATATTCATGAACAGTGCTTTGGTAGCTACCATATGAAATTCCAGCTATTTCTACTATGGTTTCAATAGTTATGTTTCCATTAGCATAAATTAAATCACCAACCTGCTGGATGTTGT